GAGACCAGACAGCTTCGGGTTCTTTGGTTTCTCATCACTATTTTAAGCATTTATGTATGTATGTACATATATGGCACACACATGCATTAAAATTTCACATTTCACACTTCATATCCAGTTGCTCATTAAAACAGTTAACAATTTTAATAAAAATGCGAGTTAATAAATTGTAAATTAAATATTATAATTGCATTCATTACATGAGGTAATCAAATATGGGCTTTACAAATTCACAGCACGCACTCGAAAACTTCAAGAATTTGCATAGCAATTAAAAAAATTTTAATAAAAAGAGAGAGAGAGAGAAAAAAATGATGCCAAGTGATGTAAATAATTTGCAAAAATTATGCGAGTTCCGAGTTACTTTTTTTTTTAGTTTCGCAAAGCCAAGCAGAAGGCACTAAAAATTTCGAGCAAGTCGAGAGGAAAAGAAGAAGAGGCGAGCCCAAGCCAAAGGCAGACGCAGAGAGAGAGAGAGAGAGGGAGCGAAAAAGAGAGAGTTGTTGCGCTCGAGCTGGCAGTCCCAAAGCGAGAGCCAAGCACCGAACTGTGGCAACATGTGCGTCTAATGTACGCACATTAGCAACACAAATGCAGTCGAGATGACTGAAGGATACACATACAGGGAGAGAGAGCGAGTGAGACAGGGCGAGTAAGTCTAGGGATGAGCCTGGCAGCCAGAAGTCAGAAGCTAGTTGAGCTATGCGAAGCCGGCGCCACTCAAGCAAACGAACGCACTTAATTTATGCAATTTGGTTAACAACGTTAAAATTGTAGACGAGCGGAGGAGGGAGCGGAGCAGGACATAAATCAAAATGGAAACAATAACGCAACAGTGGAGCCCGACGAGCAGCAGCAGCAGCAGCAGCAGCAGCAGCAGGAGCCGAAGCAAGAGTTGGAGCTGTTACGAAAGGAGTAATAAGGATAATGAAGCAGCAACAGCAGCCGCCGCTCTGGCATGCGTCCTTCTGCTGAATGCTGGGCACTTGCCATGCAAACGATGATGAGCACGATAATGATGGCATTTGAATGAGCACACGCACACACTCGCACACACACACACTGACACATTGATGTCGTAATTTGAGCTCAACGTTTGCCATTTTCTCAATATTTGCGCAAATATTGGCTCATTATTTGGCCTTATTATATATTAATTTGCCTATTAATTATTTTAACGTTTCGATCTCAAGCTCACTCTCGCTCAGGTTAATGTGTGCACGTGTGTGTGCGTGCGTGTGTGTGACATGTGTGCACAGATTTTTGCCGAGCTATTAATATGCCTGCAATTAGCTGGAAATTTCGTTGGCCTAAATTAGTTGGCCAATTTATTTAGCTACAGTATTTGGTGACAAAATGGGAAGTCGAGCTGACTGAGCTGAATACGAGAGCAGAGCTTAGCAAAAATAGAATAGACCTAATGGGAAAATATTTTAATAAGCAGCTATACCATATTGGGTCGTAATGTATGAAAAGAGAAGTGGATGATATCGATTGGCAACAGAGCTTAAAACTTATGGAAATTTATATCTTGTATCAAATGATAAAAAAATAAATAATATAATAAATAAATTAAAAAAAAAATAATAATAAAAAATAATTAATAAACAATTTATTTAAATAAGCATTACAAAAGTAAAAATTAGTTTAATACTTTTTATTTAATTATTAAAAAAAAAAAAATAATAAATCATTTTCATTGACTGTTTTTATTTGAATAAATATTTAAAAAAAAAAAATTTTGGCTTCTTTTTTTTAAACAACCTTTTTTTAATTATAATATATTAATAATAATTAAACATAATTTTAAATACATATTCATAGAATATTTTTTTGAATAAAATAATTATGATTTTTTTTTTAAAATATATTAATATGTAATGTAAAATTATAATATAAAAAATAGTATTATTTTAATAAAATAATTCGGTATATTAAGCATTTTTAATTTTTTTTTTTTTTTTTTTGAATTAATAACTTGCATAAATTCTTTTGTCATTTTTCTTATTTTGAAAATATTTTTTTTACATTTATTTTCACTCTGTTTAATATTTACATAATATTTATAGTAATTACTATTTTACTATCAATCGAAATATATTTGAATTATTTTTATCTATTCTACTTACTAAAGAGTTGCCAATAGTTTAATTGCAAAAAATATTCCAATAACAACAATTTTACAATGAAATTCAAGTTCAACTTGATAGACAGAAATCTGTGTAAGTCCCATCACTCTGCGTTTCTTATCGAAGACACAAGTATTGCAGCTGCACTTATCTACGTTTAGCTGGCAGCAAACATTTTAATTACAGAGTTTACTTTCATATTTACATGCTAATTATCTTCTCAGAGATATTCGCTATTCGCTATTCACTATCTATGCCAAATACCACAAGCACAAAGTTTTACCTCGCCCCTGCCCTCGGCGCACTCTGTCCACATCACATTTCATTAGCAGCTCCTGGCTTTGGCTTTGGCTTTGGCTTTGGCTGTTCACAATCTCAAGACAAGTAGCTGCCCCAGCTACCGGGCTGCATTATCTAGTTACTTTTACACAAGTTTTGCCAAGATTGCGAGCGAGCGAGCTGAATGGAGCTGCGTAGCTCTGGCCTGAGCTGCGGGTGCCTTTAGGAAAGTTTTGCATTGTTGTTGCAGCTGTTGATTCTGCTCCTCTGTGCGGCACTAATTTGCATGACCTTTGGCACCGTCAACGTCGCTGGAGCCGTCCTCGGGCTGCGAGACAAACCGGCTAACCAGGTAACCAACTAACCAAGCCAACCAGCTAGATAGCCCAATGGGGGCCACAACATTTGAATGGCATTTCATTTGCGACGCTTTTCAACGTTAATGCCATGGAAAATGCATAAATTGCGGCACTCAAGTGGAGAACTTGCTGAAAAACAATGACAATTCCCATTGAGCTGGGCCAGCCTGTGCTCGCTCTGAGCTCTCGGATAGGCTAATTAGCAATTGCCAAGCTTAGCTCCAGCTTATCAGTGCACGAGCTGCTCTTAAATGCAATGCCAACTGGGGAGAACTCAATCGGTCGAGATTTTTCTTCGCCCCAAAACGCAAGCAGAGAAAACGTGCTCTGCTTCAATAGAGAGCTGAGCGTGTTGCTGCAATAGAGTTGCAGAGGTTTACGGTTTAAGAATGTGCGAGATGAGTTCATGATTTAACTTGAGTAAAATTTGTATTTTTGTTTATTGAATTTAAAATGATGCATAAAATAAAGTGCTCTGCGACTCTAGGACAATTCGAATGGCTTGATTTACAACTGGAAATTATTTGTTATATTGAAAATCACTAAAAAGAGATTAATTATATTTTACTTCAAATACGATTCTTCATAATAAAAAATTATTAGTATGCAATTTTTAATTTTTTTTAATTAATATATTTTTATTTATTTATTTATTTTTGTTTTATTTTTTATTTATTTATATTAATAATAAGCTAAAAAATTGAGTAAATAACTAATATAAATTAATAAGTGAAATTAAATATATACTTAAATTTTTTAAGATAATATAAATATTATAAAAACTTTTATTTATTATTTTACAGACATTGGAAGCTTTCCTACCATATCTCTCAGAAATATATTTGCATTTCACATTTACAAATTTGTAGTTAAAGCAATTTTAATTGTCCACAATAATATTAAAAAATACTTTTAGCTCTTAGAAACTTAATTTAAAACTTTTTCAATATTTAATTAAATTTGATTTATTATCAAACAGATATATAATGAAGCTCCCCTACCATATGTATCTCTCCGTAGTATATTTCCTTTTCGAATTCTCATCGCACGCAAATTGTTTTCAAATTAAATACAACATTTCAATCTAAGCTTTGCGTAAAGTTTTGCTCAAGGCTGACTAAAATAACAGTAACTCTGCTCCCGCCCCTACCCTACACACACACACACACGCACGCACACAATTGCCATTTGGCAAATTTCAGTTTGGATTTCGTATGCTTTTTGGCAGCGAGGAGCAAAGCGCTTGATATATCCATTTCGTTTGGAGGATTCTTCGCGTGCCTGTTAAGAGCTGCAACAACAAAGCAATTGTTAGTTGTTGCTGTGTATTACATGCGTGTGAACACACACACACACCTATAGAGAGAGAGAGAGAGTGAGAGCTCAGCGGCAGACAGCATCGAAAAGCGTGGGGAATTGTTCATTTTGTGCTCAACTTTTGGTTTGTGCGCTTTGTGTTTATTTATTTAAGTGTTATTTCGTTTTATTTTGCAAAATTGAGTTATAAACAAGTTTTTGAAAATTGTTTAAATGGAAAAAACAGATTGAATATCCTCCAAACGAAACGAAATGTACTCGGGCCACGCCCACCGCTCCTCCACAGGCAACAGCCAGCAGCCACTTGAGCACATGTCAAGTGGAAAATCGTTTTGTTA